TAGTAGCATAGTAAGCGTAGTAGCGTAGTAAGCGTAGTAAGCGTAGTAAGCGTAGTAGCATAGTAAGCGTTAGTAGCATAGTAAGCGTAGTAGCATAGTAAGCGTAGTAGCGTAGTAAGCGTAGTAGCGTAGTAAGCGTAGTAGCATAGTAAGCGTAGTAAGCGTAGTAGCATAGTAAGCGTCGTAAGCATAGTAAGCGTAGTAGCGTAGTACCATAATAAGCGTAGTACCATAATAAGCGTAGTAGCATAGTAAGCGTAGTAGCGTAGTAAGCGTAGTAAGCGTAGTAAGCGTAGTAGCATAGTAAGCGTTAGTAGCATAGTAAGCGTAGTAGCGTGGTAGCGTAGTAGCGTAGTAAGCGTATAGTTGCGTAGTAAACGTAGTAGCGTAGACTGTAGTAGCGTAATATAAAATATCTACCAATTAGCACTTTTATATAACACAAGTATATATAGCATAGTGGCCGTGACGTATCAGACACACATGCAATCTCAAGCCAATATGAGACGTTAAGCCGGTTTTCCACTAGCGAATTTTTTCGCGCGAAGCGACTTTTTTCCTTTGTCAGTATCACTTATTCATGAGTACAGCAAGACTTGGCAAAAAGGATCCCACAAAGGAAAAAAGTCGCGTCGCGCGAAAAAATTCGCTAGTGGAAAACCGGCTTTATAGCTATGTGATTGTCTGATACATCAGGGGCGCGTAATAAGCTGTATGTATTACTCAAGTAGCTTGTAGAACGTAAGGATTTCAACAGTTGTGTCCTGATTATGCAAATAAGGAGAGTTTTGCATATATGCATGTGAATATACAAGACCTCATTGATTTATTTTTATTTTTAATAATGAATTATTAAAGCAGCAATTAGTTTTATTTGTTATAGGCATGTTGTAGCTACCACATTTAACGTAGCACTCCTGAAATAAAATGGCCTATAAATGACCTGACAGTGTACCGGGAAAGGACGACACCACTTAAGCTAAGTGTTAATTGCTGTAGGGTTAATTGCTAAGTGTTAATAACTCATTAATAATTCATGAGGAAACACAAAGAAAAATCATAAGCGTGTCGTATCTTTATATATATGAAAGAGATTTCCCTTGATTTACATAAACTTTAACTTTGATTTTCTCGACTTACAAAATTTTTTTAAAATTACTCCGATGAACTTACTAGATCGGTCGTTTTTGAAGCAATTTAAAACATTCGCAGTACGTGTTTTATCAGACCTGAAGATACTCGTCTTCGCCTATCTCGTATCTTTATATCTGATAAAACACTGATGCTCATGTTTTGAACAGTACATAATTATCGTGAAGTTACAGTTTTTCTGCTCACTTGTATAAAGGTTGCCAGTAGTCAATGTGCCCTCCACCTGATGCTATAACAAATATTCCCCTTGACCATTTCTGTAAGCGTGTTTTCCCCACAGTATCTTTATTGCACGACACCACTTCAGCCTCCTCACAGTCCTCGACCAATTTCACATTTTTTACCATGAACATCCTGGTACCTTTAAAAGTAGAATTGAAAAGAATAACAACCTCGATCAATGCATATCAAACAAAGTTCAAGCAATTTCTTGGACGGAAATCAATGTTTTGTCGTGTGACACACCATAAAAGACGCTTCAATTGTATCTTGGGATTAACAACATAAACTCTATTCTCTAGCTAATTAATTAAGTGCGGGTGACTAAACTTTAAAAAATATTCTCTTTATCACGTTTATAAACGGGATCACAATCTGATATCACGAATCCATTAGCTGGAATACTGCCAATTTATATTGTATGTTATATATAACATATATTTTGAAGCGTCTGGCATACTATACCTTGATATACTGCAGCATTATCTTCACTGCAATCAGGGATATCTAATTCCGGATCTTCCAGTAGATTAGTAGGGTCTACAAATGTCGGGCACATAGGTTACATTTCGGAATTATGCCGGTCAGTGCTATCAAGAAGCCTATATGTAACTTTAATTATTATTAATAATGAAATTTTGTAGTCTGCATGCGTGATTATCTCAACATGCTTTATATACCTTTATTCTTGTTTTTGCAATACTGCAATACTGCAAAAATTCCTTTAAACCTGTAGGAATGCTTTTGCTCATGACCATGGCCAAATGCCTATCACAGAATGCTGACTTGTACTCTGGATTCCGGGGACAAACTTTTGGATAATTTATTTCCTTTTCGTAGCCAACAATAGTGACAGGAACTGGGAACATACAGTGTGCATAACACAGCTTCCAATTCCCATCTAAAACATACAGTTTTCCACAACCTAGACATTTACAAACAGAATCACGTATCATTCATGATTTCTGTAATCTTACTATACTAGTATTATTAACTAACACATGTATTTACTAACACAAGTATTTAACTATATCAGTGATTCGATGTTTTAATTACCTTTACTCCTACATCCTTTGAAACATCCATGTCCATAGGTATTTGAAATTTGATTTGCCACAAGGTATTCAGTGGCAGCATCTTTGGAACCAGACAAATTAGTAGCTACTTGCGCTTTTGTGAATACCCACTTACTTGCTATACCCTTGTCACAAACCTCCTGATAAAGCTCATATTCCCAGAATGCTATCGCAACTGATTTACGGTGATTTTGTAAACCAGGGGTGTGTGTTTTTTCCAACAAATTAAAAATGGCTGGCGCACGAGAATTATCAAGAACAGAGCCACCATCAGTCGAAATTGAGGATATACAGCGTGCAATTGATCAAACAATGAAGCAGGAATAATGGAACTAGAAGAAGCGGAGTCGAAGGGAAATGCGCAACATCAGGAAACAGAAATACAAAATGAAGATACTCATTCCCAATGTGTGGATGAGACAGGAGAGGAATTAGAATTAGATGAGGAAGAAAAATACACCATAGAAATGATAAAAAAGAAATTGGAAATGTCTGAGAATTTGTAACCAGTTAACCTGAGATATGAAGATAAGAAAAACGTGAGGGAGAATACAAAAAAAGTTAATGAGATCATAGAAAGATTAAAAAAAAATATTTCAACGGAACCAATCTCCTTATATTAGCTAGAGTAAACGTTGTTGCTGATCTTGTTAGAAGGGAGGGAAAGAGATCTGGAAAGATGCAGGAACCTTTTTGGAGAAGGAGGATGAAAAAACAAATTAAGGATTTAGAGAGTGATATCACCAGATTTGAACAATGGAGGGTAAATAAATTGGAAAGTAAATACTGGAAAGTAAGACTTCAGAAAAAGTATTTTGTAAATAATAAGGGAGTATCAATAGTAATTGAGGAACTGAAAGAGACAGTGAAGGCAATAAAGGCAAAAATTAGAAATATGATGCTAGAAATGATACTTTTCATCAAAATAGGCTGTTTGAAACAAATCAGAGGCTTTTGTTCGTGAAACTACAGGGGATGGAAAGAGAAAATGATGTCAAGCCTAATGCGGATGGGAGTACAGCATTCTGTTGGAAAAGGGCAAAGATATTAAAAGAGAGGATGATATCAAAATGAACGTAGAGGAGGTAAAAAAACAGGTGAAGAAGACACCTAATTGGAAAAGTAGTGGACCAGATGGGGTACACGGCTATTGGATAAAGAACTTTGCAAACCTACATGAGAGAATTTCGGAACAACTAAAATGTTGTTTAGAGATAGGTGTAGTACCTGAGTGGATGACAAAAGGTCAAACATGCCTAATACTGAAAGACCGTGGTCTAGTATCAATCTACCGCCCAATAACGTGCTTGTCCCAGATGTGGAAACTTTTGACAGGGATTATTGGACAAAGATTGTACGATCATCTAGAAAAGGAACAGATTCTGCCGCCAGAATAAAAAGGAGGTTATAGGGGATGTAGAGGGACAAAGAATCAGCTTATGATCGACAAAATGATCCTCAAGAACTGCAGAAGGAGACTGACTAATCTTGCTGTATGTTGGATTGATTACAAAAAGGCCTACGATATGGCCCCACATTCGTGAATCAACCAATGTATGGAGTGGTTTGGAGTTGAAGATAATGTAAGAAAATCATCGAAGAAATCATTGAAGACGTGTAATTGACATCAGGAGGAGAAACTTTGGGAGAAGTAAAGATCAGATCAGAGGAGGGATATTCCAAGGAGACAGTCTGTCACCATTGTTGTTTGTGTTGACACTGATACCTATGACTATGGTCTTGAATGCTACAAGGACAGGATACCAGCTTGGAAAAAAAAGGTCATTTTAATCACCTCTTGTTCATGGATGACTTCAAACACTATGCAAAGAATGTGAATGAACTAGATTCTCTAGCCCAGACAGAAAGGGTTATTAGTGAGGACATTGCAATGGAGTTTGGAATTAAGAAGTGTGCAATGGTGGTAATGAGGAGAGGACGAATGGTAGAGAGTAAGGTTGTTGACCTTCTTAATGGAGAAACCATCAAAGTATTGGAGGAAAATTAAGGATATAAAATCCTAGGGATTTTGGAATGTGATAAATTGAAAAGTGGTAAAATGAAAGAAATACTCAGAAATGAGTGCTTCAGAAGAATGAAAAAGATCCTGAAGTCCAAATTGAATGCAGGAAATATCATCAAGGCAATCAATTCACGGGCTGTATCAATCATAAGGTATGAAGCAGGGTTAATTGAATAGACAAAGGAATAACTAAAGGAAATGGACAAAAAGACAAGGAAGATACTTACCATTTATAAGTGTATCCACCCAAGAGATGATTTTGACAGGCTGTATTGGAAGAGGGTTGAAGGAGGAAGAGGATTGAAGAGTGTGGAAGATGTTGTAGAAATTGAAAAATGCAGCCTAGGATACTACCTCACCAAGACAGATGAAGAGTTCTTACAGGAGGTCAAGATAGAAAACATTTTCAAGGAAGTAGAAGACCCAAAAAACAGGAAGAAAACCATCATAAACAGAAGAAAAGAAAGTTTCCTTGAAAAGAAGATACATCCTGTATTTTGGAAAGGAAAAAAAGAGATAAGAGATAGGGCAGCAACAGGGCAATGTTTAAAGAAGGGAACGCTAAATGATGAAACAGAAGGAATGATCCTACCAGCTCAAAACCAAGCCCTCAGAACCAAGTGGATGCGACACCATATTGATAAAGATTTCGAAATTTCACCAACATGCAGGATTTGTGGACTCGCAAATGAAACCATCTCACATATTGTTTCGGAATCCCATCTTCTTGCTCAAAAGGATTATAAGAATGTCAGACATGATAAGATTGCTACTGCAATACACAGAGACCTATGTAAGAAGTATGTATTTGAGTATGCGGAAAAATGCTGTAATCACCACATTGACAAGGAAAGCAGAGTACTGGAGAACGATGAGGTAAATATTCTATGGGATTTCACCATCCAGACTGAAAAGAAGCTAGATTACAACAAGTCTGATCTAGTCATATTGACGTAGGCTGCCAATTTGATACAAGAGTAAAGGAGGGGGAAAGAACAAAGATAGAAAAATACACAGACCTTAAATATGAATTACCAAAAGTACGGAAAGGGGAAGTGACCAAGGCATTTATACTGCCAGTCTTCATAGGCGCCTTGGGAACGATGATCAACAATGTACAAAATAACTTGGACAAGCTGAAAATAGGCAGCAACGCAGGGGATCTTCAAATGGTCGGACTGCTTGGAACAGCAAGGATCCTGAGGAATGTCCTGGACTCGTAACCTGATCAATATGCTGCGGGAAGTAGCATGATGCCAGGCGCAACCGGTGAAAAACCGAACAAAATGTCGATAATAATAATAATAGTATTGGAGAATACATGCGCGGTATTTGCACCAGCAGAGGGGACCATAGAAAAAATGTTGACCCATATTTCATACAAACACACGTACATCTATCATACACCGTATCTATGGGGACTTGAGGTCCCCATAGTGTGTATATAATACATTGTGTGGTCCTCACAATGAAAATGAACTAAGCATATTAAAGTTGTTATTTTTCTTGTCATTAATTACTGACTATACATTTAGTGTACCATGTATTCATCAGGAGCTGCTCAACATGAACTAAAAACAAATCTTATATTTTCTAGCAACCATGTACTATTCTCTATATCTTTATAAATGCTGTGAAAACTATTTACATAAATCATTATTCTTGGTTTTTGTTTCTATAGAAAGAATACGATGATCTTCATTTAAAATCATCCAAAAAAAAGAAACAGTAAAATTGATCAGGACTCACGATGCAGTTTACTTTGAAGTCGGTTAGTTTATACCATGCTTACATTAAATTCGGGAATGACCAGGAAGATATTAACTCAAATCTTTCCATATTTGAAATTCTATCACTGTGTAATGGGTATTTATAACCATGCAATCAGAAATGCAAAATTTTGTTAAGAACGCCACTCGTTTGTGACAGTTTTTGCACAGTTTGTCCATGTGATATGTAAATATCATTTCACCATCAAGTTCCAGCCTATTCCAGCCTTTTTTCTAGTTTGGTTTGATTGTGTATGTAGCTGTTTCCACAAATATTTCACTTTTGAAGACCTTGGAAGAACGACTGTGTTCATTTTTTTACACCTATCATCGTTATTCCTTTTGGCGCATACATCACACTCGCGTGCTCATAATGACTGGTAGGCCCGTAATGATGTTTTAATACAACAGTACTACACTTTATTTCGCTAAGCATTATGAAGGTGAGAAACTCACAGTCTATAGAATTGAATCTAAGGCCCTTTGCCTTGTTTTATAACTTTAATTTAACAAATTTAAGAATTGTTCGTTTAAGAACTCTTAAATATAAGAAATTTAAGAGTTCTATAACTGAAATTTAAGAATTTAAATACAAGTTGATGGTTTTAACCTAAGCGAATTAAGTCATTAGAGACGCCGCCTTTCAAGAAATGTTTTTGGCCCTGTTTTGACATATAAATAAGCAGGCGGACTTTAATCAAACACTCTTGACAATTAGTTAAAGCGGCAATCGCTCTATTTTCCCTCTCTTCTCCGCCCCTTTCTGGCATTTCCCGCGCGTTCAGTCTTAGTCTGGGAAACAATAATAGGAAGGGGGGGGGGGGAAATATATATATATATATATATATATATATATATATATATATATATATATATATATATATATATATATATATATAATTACTATTCTTACTTAAAAAAAAACATTTTAAGTAAGAATAGTAATTACATTCGCTCTACAAAATTTTATGTATTGAGCACTCTCTTCACTATACGTTACAAAACTTGTGATATATATATATATATATATATATATATATATATATATATATATATATATATATATATATATATATATATATATATACAGGGTGTATCAGAATAAACGCAATTCATCTTTTGTGCTTAATAACTTTCGAAATACTATTTCTAGTTAAACGCTTTTAGGCTTACTTCAAAGCCTGTTCTTTTCTGTTTCAAAAAACAATTATCCTTGTCTCCAATGCTAGTAATAATTGCACAGAAAAAGATTTAGTAAAACCTATCGTTTTTAGTTGCTGTTTAATTATGCAAGTTTACTATGTTAATGTTTAGTCGGTTTAAATGTTAGAATTTTCTTCTTTAACCTTTAATGTTGTCGTCACTACATCTGGAAAACCACGTAAGAACAAATTAAATGTATTTTAAAAGAGACCAGGTTGTTTGAAAATCCTAAACGAATGCTAAAAATCGTCAAAACATTCTGGTGTCTGAGCCAGAGTGTCATCGAATTGCGATGTAATGTAAACAGAAATTATAGCAAGTTGATGTCAGTCAGCTTAGATGGTCCAAGCCAAAACTATATCGCATCTGAAGTTTTAAACTGAGTTAAAAATAGTGGAAGAAAAGCCGTAATTATACTTATTGTTACAATCTATTTAATAAATTGCAACATTTTTTTGTTTTAATGAAAAAATCAGTTATTTTCATGAGAACGATTTGTTATTCCATCTCAATTTTTTTAATCTCCAATCGCAATAACGTAAAGTATTATTACCCGCGAACCAATGAGTCAAATTTATGAAACAATGATGTAAACTTTAACGTTTTCTTCTATTATTTGTTTAGCAATTTACATTTCAGTCGAGGATTGCGCTTTTTTTGATACACCCTGTATGTATATATATATATATATATATATATATATATATATATATATATATATATATATATATATATATATATATATATATATATATATATATATATATATATATATATATAATTAGGTTTCGTTGTTTACAAAAACATTTGGCAGAGTGCTCAATGGATATCCAGAGCATAATTAAATAAGTGCAACGACTCAACAAATTCCACTAGGCATCTTTATTACTATTAGTGT